TTTCATCATGCTGTTTAATGTTCTAGGCATAAAACAGATACGGCCAACAGTTGAACAATTTTCATCAGTTAAAAAAAAAAAATGCAAAAGTATTTGACGCCTCTTGAATTGCTGTGCAATAATTTAAAGTGCTTTAGTATAAACTCTGTGACATATATGTTCATGTGAATTTAACTTTCATCTTACCTTCGGGTAGGTTCAATAGCATTTGAAGCACCCAATCAGGTGGCTAGATAGGTGCTTTAAATATTGTCATCTAAATCTATACCAGAGTGTTAATCAGCATAAATGATGTTAATATTTATCATTGGTGAATGGCGTTTGAAAAGTGGTTCACTAGAAGGATTTTTGAAGGTAACAAACATGGATGAGGTATAAGAATCTGGCAAATCCTGCAAGCTAATGGCTTTTGTTTAGTACCTCAGATCCAGTACTGTTTGCTTGTGTGCGGTATTCCCCTCATTCACCCATTTAAGACACTGTAGCCTGATCCAACCAGGCTACCTAAACCCTGCCCTCAGAATATCACCGCTTCTGCCTCACTGCGAATCTTTCAGTCAAGATGTTTGTGGGGTTGCTTGTGAGCAGAGTTGGAACTTTTCCCAAGCTTTCCAGAGGGTCTTCTTGATAAATATTTGCTCATGTGAGAGAATTCTGTTTGAGATTTGCTTTCATTGTAATATATACCACCAGGTAGCAAGGTTATGTGAGAGGAGACATATAGCCTTACCTCCCTGTAAAAGCTGGAGGCTACCTACCAAATTAATCTGTGATTGGTGAATGATTAAATTGGCTTAGACAGTTTGTAATGGCGAGTAAAAGAAACTAAAGGCCCATCTACCCTCGTTCCATGGTGAGGGTCAGATTTAGTCCCTAAGTGCTGCCCTTAATGTAGTGCCATACTGCAGCCGCCTTAAGATTAGGTGACTACTGATCTTCAAGTGCTGGAGAGAAAGCAATCCAGCCATTATAAAGGTCAAGATCATCCTCTAGCAGCACTGTCCTTCACAAAGTAGAGTTGAGAATTTTACACTCTTTCCATTTAAAACCTGATTAGTTAGAAGGCTTTCAGGCTTTGTTAATGATTGTACGATTTAAAAAATATAATGAAAAAAGGAAATACAGCCAAGATAGAAATATTGTTCTAAATTTTAAATAAACTTATTCTATATACCTATTCAACCAGAAGATGGGGAAACATCACTGAAGTAAAATGATGGACAGCTTGAAAACTCAAGAAATTAGCCTGGGTAAAGTTATAATGTATGAGAAACCTAAAGGTAATACTATTATCAAACATTTTATTTGGTATTTCATGCTTTCTTGTTGTACGGCATCCGGTCAATTCTGACTCATAGCGACTCTACAGGACAGAGTAGAACTGCTGCATAGGATTTCCAAGGCTGTAAATCTTTATGGGAGCAGATTGCCAGGTCTTTTCTCCTGCAGAGCCCCTGGTGGTTTCGAACCGCCGACCTTTCAGTTAACAGCCTAGTGCTTAACCATTGTGCCACGAGGGCTCCTAATTTCATGCTAGGTCAATGAAAAGAAAGAAAACAACTTTTCTGAACTTTTTTTTTTTTTTTTTAATATAATGACTATGTGTACATGGACAACTGAGAACAGGAGAAAACCCCAAATGAATATTTTAACAAATTACAGTCATTACTAAAGACGATATGCTTGGATTTTAAAGAAACAGTCCAACAGTTGAACAGTCTCTCATTCGATCTAGATTAACTGAATCCTGTTTTAATAAAAACAACACACAATAGTGGTAGATGCTTACCTTTTTCCAACACTATATAAAAACAAGTGTTCCCTCAGTGACATCTTTCCTTCAATATTTAGTTATTTAGTAGTCTCTAAAATGGTAAAATAAAATTGAATATAATAGCATATGAAAGTGCAAGTTTGTACACCTAAGCTCAGCAGCAAAAGTGAAGAAAAAAGAGGAAAGTGAAAAGCTGATGGATGCTACACAGAACAAGGACATCCATGAAGGCAAGCTGCACCGTATCCTGGGTGCCAAACAGAGTCAACATGCCATCATTTTTTCATTGCTCTTAAATGAGCAAAACCAAATTCTTTTTTTATTTAAACAAATATATCTTTATTTCCCCCCACATAATTTGTGATCAGGTAAGGCAAAGATAAGTCCCTCCATCACTGGGGACAGCAGCAATATACAGACTTCAGAAATAGCCCTGAATCATCAGTAACATTCTCGCATGGTAACATAAGAAGAAATGCATCTAATAAAGCAAATTTGCAATGTTGTCACATTTTTCTAATTTATTTGATTAGTTTATCTGGAAAAACTTTATAAATACATTATTTAAGAGGACAGTAAATTAATTTCTTGCTCTGAGAAAATAATGTTTTTTCTCACATTTTAAAACTTTTTAGTATGCTCTTGCAAAAGGAGATGCAAGAAGAACGCAGCGATAGCTGGGTTTGCAGAATGTCCATGTACAAGTTGCATTTACAAGAACCTGGTAATCTGCCTATAATTTACCTCTACAAATAAAGTTCTTTGCAATAATATTTAAACAAACTGGCTTAATTTAAACATAATTTAAACACCTCCCTATTCACTCTACTTGTAGAGCAAAGAGGTACTTATTTTTCAAGTACTATATATTGTAAAAGGTAATTTTTTTGACAATTTTACAAGTTAGCTTTTAAGACCAAAATATCTACGTAAAAAATCATGCCTAGTCAGCCCATTTCTTTTATAGCCAAATGTTCTTGTCTTTTAAAGAATGCAGAAAAATATTGATTTGCTAAGAAGGAGCACGCTGGAAAAACCATTTTAAAATATTGAAGAATAAAGAATATTTTCTTTTTTCTACTGGCGAAAATTATTAGAAAAGCTATCCAGTCTGTTGTCTTTAGCTGGTTTTAATAAAGTCTCTTTAAAATGATGTTCAAAAAATCTTTAGAAAACTAGAGGGGGGCCGGGGGATGCTCCTTTATAGCATGGAAGGAATTCCATTAACTGTAGAAATTCTTATTAAATTTCTGCTTTGGTTCTTCAGAAGAAATGCTCATACAACTTCTAAATTAGGAGACAGAAAAACACAACAGATTAATATGACATTTATCTAAGAACATATGTAAAGAATACTCCAGTAATACATTTCTAAAGCTTTACCATGCTTTCATGTACATTGTTAAAGAATAGACAATTTAATCAAAGTTCACAGTGTTCTTATATTCAGATGAATTCTATTAATAATGGAAAACCATATATCATTTTCTTTACTTCAACATGCCATTTGCTTTTCTATATTGTACGTATCAGTTGTATTTTTCTTTGAGGTTAGGGGCTTAACATTCGTTTGTCTTGTGCCCTCAGCACTTGATGCTTAGGGTGCCAAACATACTGGAAACTAAATGTTTGTTGAATAGTCATGACCCCAAAAGACCTCTGATACCACCTGAGGTCAAAGACACTGGATTGTGTTCCCAGAGAATGTATGGAAGTGTGGGATCAGTGGGAATGGAATGACAGAAAACTCAAATCTCTGAAACATTGCGGCCAATGTGATGTAAGGCCTGGCACATGAAGCAAAAAGTCATCTGAAGTTCCCTCCCTATGAATCTGTGACATGACAAAGGAAGAAGCTGCACTGGGAGTGTTTCCACCAACAAAAGAGTAATCAAATTGTTCCCGGAGAGTTAAGAATCAGAATGTAAGACCTGGAAGGATTTTACAATTTCCTTTTACAGCCTAGAGAAGTGGAGTTCACTAAAGTTAAGTTACTCTTCCAAGATTAATACATTAGAGGAGGAAAAAAAGACAAGCTTCATTTGGATGGGTGGGTCAACACTGTCTTTTTCAACCAGTTAAAGTGGAAAATATCTGTTACAAGTTCACAGATGGGCTCTAAAATACAAAACAATTTGGCCACAAATGATTCTATACTGACTCCACGTTAATCAAGCCAACTGAATCTGGCCAGCTCTATTCTTAACAGTGTACAGATGTTGGTCAATATGTGAAAGGAGAGGGAGAGCTGTTGAACTGCTATAACCACTAAGTTTCCAGTACTTGATGTTGTTCCTTATTTTATTGGGTCCGTGTAAAACTCCTGTTCTTTTTGCACAGAGACTTCAGGTCAAGTGTGAGTCCCAGAGACAGTGTCATAGAGTAGCAGGCGGTTTCAACAGCAACTACGCTCACTCAGTGAAGTATGGAAGACCCTAGGGCTCAGTATGATCCTAGTTTGGAGTATTGGTTCCATGATCTAAATCATTTAACTCTCCATTCATATTACATTATCTTTAAAAAGGACAGGAATATACTATTCCAGTTGTTAAACCTAAACAAGAGAAAAATGGTGGGAGAACATGACACTGGTCTTCAAATATCTGAAGAGCTGAGTAAGGGAGGAAACACTAAACCTTATTCTCCAGTGGGCAGAATTAGACCCAATGGTCATAAGTTATGGGGAGGCAGCCTTGTCTTTGCGTCAATTTTGTGTCTGTTACTGATGTGTGACTTAGGAGATCCCATGTGTTAACAAAGTAGAACTGCTCCATAGGGTTTTCTTGGCTGTTAATCTTTACAGAAGTAGATCGCCAGGCCTGTTTCTTCCACTGTGCCACCGAGTGGGTTCAAGCTGCCAACCTTTTAGCTGATTTGCGAGCTCAAACTGTTTGCGCCACTCAGGGACCTTGAGGCAGCCTTGTCTTAATATGAAGCACATCCTGGCAGTGAGTGCTGCTGGGTGATGGGGAGAACTGTTCTGTGAGAGGAGGCTGAGGGACACCCACTGGTGCTGCACAGTGGATTTCTGCACTGAGTGGGAGTATAGGAAGGGCCCCTGAAATTGTCCAATCCACTTTGAAGTTCAATTTCTATGATCCACACACAATCTTTTCTATGATGGCTTATTTGGTCCCTTAGGTTCCTTCACAGGATAAAGAGAGACACAGACACAATGCAGAAAGTAGCAGTTCATTCCCTCTTGGGTGTTGCATATTTCTGATGATTACAGAAGGGAGTTTGAGTCAAGCTTACCTGCTGTCTGTTGTGTCTGAACACCATCTACCTGAGGCAGAGGCCCAAGTGTCCCTTCATCATCAAAGGCCAAAATTGGATTCAAAGGAATTTCTGGGCTCTCACTGTTGGTGACATCTAATCTGGATGGTTTAGATCCCATGGGTAAATTTATAATTTCTTCAAAGTTTTCATTCTGAACAGATACTCCATTTTCATTTGGTTGTTTTTCCAAATTGAGAGTACTGGGGAATTTTAAAAATAAAAATTAAAATGAGTTACTATTAAAACTGGAAAAACCAAATAACAACAACAGTCTCAGTAATGCCAATTGCTCGACCTTTAGAAAATCAGTTAATCTTTCTACGTCTCCTTCCCAAATGGTAAAATCAAGCAAATGTAAATCCAATCTTTCCATTGCATTTTTTTGAGGGGGAAGAGTTTTTTTTTTTTTTTGGATCCCCACCGCCCAACTGAGGAAATAGTTTACTTTCTTGAGTCAATGAGAAATATTGACTTTGTGGTACACATTCTAAAGCATTTCTGATTTGAATTTTTAATTTTTGTATATTTTTGTTAATTATTAAACTTCTTCTGGAGAAAAATATTCTAAATTTCTTACGAGGCATTGCAGGGCACTCTGAAAGTATTTGTAAAATTGCTCTAAAAAGAACCAAAAATATTACACATACTCAGAGTGTGATGGTGCTATTCTGCTATTTCACTGAGGAGGAAGAGGAAGTTTGACATCATAATAGTTTGCATGAGGGTGCAGGCGTGCACACGCGTGTACATACACACACGCCTAACACCTGCCATTCATACTGGCTGGACTATCACACCCATCCTCCTGTTCTTTCCCTAAACCAATGGGCATTCTGTACCCAGGGAAACAGTTTTGGTTCTTAATCCCAAGAGATTTTAAATAGAAGTTTTGTCGAAAAGTAAAGAACAGGAAAGTATCCCCCAAGCCCTCTTTCGCTGGCAATCTTAACTCCTGTCACCTTTCAGGCCTGCGTGCGCTAACAAGTTATAAAGGCAACAACCAACCCCAGACATGAGTCAATAGCTGACTTCATCTCCCCCTCACACCTGGCTACTCCACCCATTCTTACTTGTTAGCAGCTGGAGGAACAATTGTGTTATAGGCTTTGGACTGACCAATTATTAAATGTTCAGGGGCAATGTGATGAGCAGAAACTGTAAAGCTGAAGCTAGCTAAAGTCACTGGGGTTAGGGATTATGAATCTGTGTGCCCCCTCAGCGTAAAGCACCAGCTTTTGCATTCTTCCTTTTTGGCTATACTCTGGAGGCTGAAAACTGGGTGTAAGACTCTTGAGGACTGTATATTTCATGTGGTCAGCCCAAAGCATATGCAGTGAGTGGGGTTGGGGCCATGATGGGAATCTGATAGTCCATGGAGCTTACTGTAGGACCTAATTTTTCCTTGATGTCTAATATCATGCCATAACAAATAACTTGTAAATTAAAATCCCTTTGTGATGAATTCATAAGATCTGAAGGAAAAAGACTAGGTCAAACACTACAATTACTCCAGATCCCTTATTTAAGAGGGGAGAACCAGTCTATTGAAGAGACACTCTCGTACGGCTCTGAACAAGTTATTTTCTGGGTTATCTGGAAGGTGAGATTGTAGCTTGTACACCCATGAGAGCTTTTCAGCTTCTAGAATAAGTTCTCAACTGAGGGTGGAGAAACATATTAGAATGATCTGAGAAATGTAAAATAATTCCCTCCTTTCCTATCCTATTCTGATATCCTCCCCACCCCCACACACTTACTTCTATCTTTTGGTGTCTGTTCCAAAGCAAGTTTCCTATTCATGAATAAACACTCCCCTCAGTTCTATCCCCTGAGCGGGAGCTATCCTCTTCAAAGACTATTTATCTTTGAAGACCTGAAGATGGCTTCTGGAGTAAGAATAGACTCGCTCGGGTTCATCTATTTCTTTGCACCTTTAAAAGCTGGCCAGAATTTTGATAACTCATACCTTCTTCAATTCTATCTATTGACAGTGGAGAGCCTGTCATGGAGGAGAAAGATGGAAAGAAGAATGCCTTTTGGGCTTGTAAAAGGATTATACACAGAAGGCTGAGATCCAGAGAAACCACAGGGGCCACAGGTCTCACTCAGGCCCCTCAGGGTTAGGAGTAAGGTTCTGAGAGTTCTTGGATTGGGGTTTCTCTGATAACAAGGGATCTTGGCTCTGGCTGCTAGGAAAGCAATATTAGGAGGCCACTGTCATCCTGGGACACTGACGGGACAGTTTTCTGACATATCTCTGGGGGTGGCAAGGGGTGAATGTCACAGTTCATACCACTATTTTTCCTGAAGAGCAGGCCAGCCAGTGTATTATGTACTCGAGACACTGGGAAGAGTGAAGCTTCTCTCAATCTGAACTAAGGATGTTCATTCTGAGGAGTGGAGTTTTCTAGTGAAAATAAACCCTGCCACAGTGAATGTAGCATTTGTCATGGCAGATTGTCAGAGAGACAGAGAGAATACCACCCATATCAAGTTCTTCAAAAGAAGTCCTGGCAACCTCCAAAAGCAGGGATTTAACTCACAGTGGGCAAGCTGGTAGAATCTATAAATCTATTCTGGGTGCACAGGAGGGTATTTAATGAAGATGCTGACTGATTTAAGAGGATCACAGAATGCTTAACTAAACATGATGCACTGAGGTGAAAAACCATGACATTGCTAAGTGATTTCAAGGTTGATTTGAAACTGAGAGTAAAAGGGAGTTTCGATGGATGTGATTTATTTGGAATTTTAAAGTTTTTAATAGGATTTCATATGTAAAACTGTTTAAAAACTTGAGTCCCCACTGAATCAAAGGGAATATTTACTCATAAACAAGAACCTGTCTTAGGGACAGTTAAACAAACAAACAAAGCACACCCATTGCCATTGAGTAGATTCTGACTTACTGCTACCCGATTTGTTACAATGTAAAGCTGGTCCATAGGGTTTTCTTGGCTGTAATCTTTATGGAAGCAGATCACCAGGCCTTTCTTCCGTGGTGCTGCTGGGTGGGTCTGAACTGCTGATCTTTAGGTCAGTACCAAAAACCAAACCCGTTGGTCGAGTTGATTCTGACTCATAGTGACCCTACAGGACAGAATAGAATTGCTCCATAGGGTTTTCAAGGAGTGGCTGGTGGATTCAAACTGCCAACCTTTTGGTTAGCAGCTGAGCTCTTAATCACTGTGCCACCAAGGCTCCTTTAGGTTAGCAGTTGAAAGTAAACTGTGCCACCCAGGGACTTTCAATTGTCCTCAAGTTGATTCCAACTCACGGAGATCCCATGTCTTTCAGAGTAGAACTGCACTCCATAGCATCTTCAAGGCTGTGACCTTTCAGAAGCAGATCACCAGACCTTTCTTCTGATGTGCCTCTGGGTGGGTTCAAACCATCAACCTTTTGGTTAGTATTAAGTGCTTAACCAACTGGACCACCCAGGGACTTTCAGAGCTTTCAGTTCTCCTTCACAGACACTTTTCATTGGATTCCTCAAGACCTTGTGGGAGAAATATATTCACGTCCAGATGAGGGAACAGCAGGTTAGGTAGGCTAATCCCAGAGTCACTGAGTCCTCATGGTTAAAGCTAGGGATCCAGCCTAGGACTGCTGGCTCTAAAGCTCTTTCTCCTTAGCCCCACACTCACGCTGATGAATCTCTACAGAGAAATATGACTAAAACGATCAAAGAGCTGGAGAAGGTGCCTTTTAAAGATAAGGTAAATTGATTTATTGCCTCTCAGCTCCAAATTCACCCTTTATTCCTGCTCTGTGAAAGTGGATCCGGGCATTTTAAATAATTTTCCTTTGCCACCTGGCAGGACCTTAAGCTCTGTCAGTAGAGGCTGCTGGAGAGACTTTGCGGGAGGAAACAGTTTTGCTTCCTGGTTCCAGTGTGTTTGCTCCACAGGTTCCTGCAGTGTAAACAGGCTCCCCAGCGCCTGACTCCTGCAGTGTGAACGGCCTTCCCGGCTCCCAGCTCCTGCAGTAAGTGTGGCCTCCCCAGCACCCAGCATCTGCAGTGCATGGTGGCCAGAAACTCTCCAGCAGTCCCTTAGGGTGGAATTATAGCAGAATTCCTCTGGTGAGGCATCTTCCTGTGAACAATGTTCCCTGGCACCCTAAAGAGTAAATTTCTGGCAAATTCTGCCAGCACAAAACCACAGCAACCTTCCTGCCATCCAGTGAGCCATGGCTGTGCCCTCTTCAACAAGGTCTGGATCTCAGTCCTGGTGGGTGAGGGCTCTTCTTTACATGCAGCCCTAGGGGGTCGTAGCTGCTCCTGATTTCTGATAGCCCTGTATTTAGATTCTCTTTACTTCTTACTAGCCAATCCCTTGTTCCTCCAATCCCAAGTAATTCTTCATATTAAAACTTTCCTGTTTAAATTAACATGTGGTTTCTCTCTCCTGATTAGACTCTGCCTGATACGGTAAGCATATTAGGGCTCTGTAGTTTGTAAGATGAAAACAGAGAGGGAATAGAAACAAAATCCATAAAACGATGAAAGTTATGGGAAGTTTGAACACAGATTTATTCCCTAAAACCTAGTTTATGACAACCACTTGAAATAAGTAGTGATAAGAGAAATAAAAACAAAAGCAGTTTGTTGTATTTACTAACACAAGAGGTGATGCAGAGTGAAAATACAGATCTCTTCAAGAACGGTCTTGATAAATTCAAGGAAGACAAATGTCGAAATAATTTATGGAAGCAGAATGGCTTAGGCCACACATGCCAAGGAACAAACTTAACATCACGTTAAATATTCCCTGCAGGCCAGTGTCATCCAAAAATGGACCGTTTCTCAAACTGGGGTCTGATTCTCTACAGGAAATCTTGAAAACTTACGCTTTCACTTTGATAAAAATTTTTAAAAATCAATGGAATAGTCTGTCATCTGACTATCACAGAGCTGAGTTTTACCACATGATTCTTGTGCTTGATTTTAGACTTGTATTTCAGAGCATACTGATACCAGCTAGTCTCAGCTTATTTGACAAGGGCTAATGACAAATGAGGGGCCATGGTTGGGCAGTGGTTAAAAGCCTGGCTGCTAAGCAAAAGGTCGGCAGTTCGAATCGACCAGCCGCTCCTTGGAAACCCTATGGGGCAGTTCTACTCCGTCCTTTAGTGTCGCTGTGAGTCGGAATGGACTCAACCACCATGGGTTTAGTTTGGTTTTAGGTAATGCATCATTTATAGTTATGCTTTAGTGCCAGGTAAAAGCCAAGGGACATCATGATACACTGTATGCAAAGAGGTTTGAAGTTTTACAGCAGTTCAAATAGAGAAAAACAGTGGGTGAAATGCATCATCAGCAACTCATGGGCTCATAAGCACCGAATGCCTCATGCATAAGGGATCAATCAGTATTGTGTATAATGCAGATGTAATTTCAGAAAAACATCATTCCTCAATAAATGACTTTTGTTTAATTTGAATGTTCTTGGTCTAATAGTTTTATTTTTACTTAAATTTGTGATTTGTTGTTTTGGCTTGACAGATGAATAACAGCTTTAGAAATACTAAGCTTAATTTTATATTTTGTACATCTTTAAGTAAAAATAATACAAGTGACTCTGGGCATTTGATAGAATTTTTTTCCCCTTCCTTTAAAGGGGATCCACACTGGGGTAAATGGCAATGGATTTAATTTGTTAAGGTCATTCTTATGTTATAGTCTGATGTGGTATTTATATTTGATACTATCCCAGACCAGTCTATCTTGTCAGGTGAAGGAAAAGAAAAATTCTATGCCTATGGTTCTCTTAATGGCTTGACAGGGATGGCCTTACAGGTATGACAAAGGATGATTTAGTCCTTGGAAGACGGATGACCCAAGTACCTGTAGTTTCTATGAATTATTTATACATCATGTCTTTTCTGCATTAAGTATTTGCATGCCCCCTTCGAGAGTCACAGAAAATTTATAAGGTTTACAAAGACTGACTTTTAGGACTTCAACTGGTAATTTTTAACCTCTTTGTTGTTGTTGTTAGGTGCCGTCAAGTCGGTTCCAACTCCTAGCGACACTGTACAACAGAACGAAACACTGCCCGGTCCTGCGCCATTCTCACAATTGTAGCTATGTTTGAGACCACTGTTGCAGCCAGTGTGTCAATCCATCTCGTTGAGGGTCTTCCTCTTTTTCGCTGACCCTCTACTTTACTAAGCATGATGTCCTTCTCCAGGGACTGGTCCCTACTGATAACATGTCCAAATTACGTAAGACTAAATCTCGACATCCTTGCTTCTAAGGCGCGTTCTGGCTGTACTTCTTCTAAGACAGATTTGTTCGTTCTTCTGGCAGCTAATGGTATTTTTAGCATTCTTTGCCAACACCATAATTCAAAGGCATCAATTCTTCAGTCTTCCTTATTCACCATCCAGCTTTCGCAGTCATACGAGGCGACTGAAAATACCATGGCTTGGGCCTGGTGCACCTTAGTCCTCAAGTGATTTATCTTTGCTTTTTAACACTTTAAAGAGGTTTTTTTGCAGCAGATTTGCCAATGCAACACTTTGTTTGATTTCTTGACTGCTGCTTCCATGGGCATTGATTACGGATCCAAGTAAAATGAAATCCTTGAGAACTTCAATCTTTTCTCCTTTTATCATGATGTTGCTTATTGGTCCAGTTGTGAGGATTTTTGTTTTCTTTATGTTGAGGTGTAATCCATAGCTAAGGCTGTAGTCTTTGATCTTCATCAGTCCAGCTTCTCGGAGTATTTGCTCAGCATAAATTCTTCAGAATTTCTAATTTCCTAATTATTACTTCTCAACAAATAAATTACCTAAGTATGCCCAACAGATGGATGAGCTAATGTGTCCAAACGCTAATTTTTCTCTTGCAAGCATGGAAATATGCAACCTGGATTTAAATAATACAGCGAGGCACAAAAGCAAGTTCACAGGACTATACTTTTTGTTTAATTATAACCTGTTTGTTACTTTTCTGTGTGCAGGGGAGGCTAAAAGAGAAAAGGACTTTGGTGTTATCTATATCATTTCACACAGTAAAATTACATCAGGTGCCTTTATAATGGTTAATTATTTGGTGATTTCACTTCTGAAGAGTCAGCTAATATATAGAAATTAATTTTATTGATCAGGTAGAACTACCAGTGGCTTAATATGTGGTAGTATCATCTCCTGTAATATAATGGGGTTCTTTCTGTAGTACTTTTTATTCTTTTCTAAAATCCTAAAAAAGTCTTTAGAGAATTTAATATCATAAATTACAGCACTTGGGAATATATATATATTAAAATCAGGCTGTAACCAAAACTAAGGGAAAAAATACCATTTAATATACATCTTTTAAAAAAAGTCATAGCTAAAATGTTTAAACATTGTTACCAATATTCCAATTTCTCCATAACTAGATTATTAGGCACAGTCTATGACTACCCTTATTTTTCATATGTGCAAATACTCGTATAATGTTGTTGATATAAATGCACAGAAAAGAGAAAGGCAATCTTTCCTCAACCCACACTCCTTTCCTAACTGTTGTTAGTACGTTTGATTCTTCATTAAGAAGCACTGCTACTAATAATATACCATAAATTTTTTTGTCATCTAAATTACTTTTACTATGGAACAAACCTGTCACTCACTATAAACTTATATATAGCTCAAATACAACCTGTTATATATCATGAAAGGATGTGGATATGGTCCAGGTCAGGAGACATATATAAAGAAAACTAACAAATTACTCTCTGTAATTTTCTTTAATAAGCAAAAAATCAAACTCATTACTGTCGAGTCGATTTCAACTCATAGCGACCATACAGGACAGAGTAGAACTGCCCCATAAGGTTTCCAAGGAGCAGCTGGTGGATTCGAACTGCCAACCTTTTTGTTAGCAGCCAAGCTCTCAACCACTGTACCACTAGGCCTCCAATTTTCTATAATAGTCATTCTAAAATCTTACCATCATATTTAAAGACTCAAGAAAAAAGATTATTTCCCCCTCTTCAGAGTACAGAATTACTAGTTCTGCCAAAAATTAATGAATCCAAATAAAAAGAAATCTTAATGTTAAAACTTTGAAATTCCTTCAGGCCTAGGAAATGCTGGTGGGACTGGTGAGGTAAGTGAGGGGGTCCTAATGTGTGTCAGTGAAAAAGCAAGGCCCCAGTTGTTCAACTCACCTCTCCACAGTTGCTTTTGATTGGTGTGAGGTAACCACGTGTGGGCTGGCCACTGGTTCTCCATTTCCTGGACAGTTTGTCACACATGGAAGTGCAGATACTGCTAGATATAGCCAAGGAGAGCGAACAAAGGGTTACTGATGCTGTATTAGCAAACTCAAATCCTATCGACCAGAATAGCTGGATTTATGGCACGTCTGCTACTTTACCAGCTGTGTGACCTTGGGCAAGTCACTTAAACACTCTGTACCTCAGTTTCCTCACGGATAATAGTACCTACGCCTCACAGGCTACCGTGAGAATTAAATGTACTAATACATGGAAAGTGCTTAGAATAGTTCCCAGCGCATTGTAAGGACTGAAATAAATGTAGTTATTACCTTTGCTTGCACTAAATTGACCCTGGATAAAACATTTATAATATTAAAACCAAGCAATTAATGAAGATAGCAGTAAGCTGACTTGGTCAGGCTGACTCCAAACATCTGTTACAGAATGAATTGTGCTCTCCAAAAATATAGGTTGTAAATCCTAACCCTGATAACTGTGAATAGGAATCCTAGTGGCACAGTGGTTAAGTGCTCAGCTGCTAACCAAAAGGTAGGTGGTTCGAACCCACCAGCTGCTCCTCAGGAGAAAAGACCTGGTGATCTGCTCCTGTAAAGATTTCAGCCTAGGAAACCTTATGGGACAGTTCTACTCTGTCCTATGAGTCTGAATCTACTCCATGGCACACAATATACGTGTGAATGTAATCTCATTTGGGAATAGGGTTTTCTTTGTTATGTTAATGAGGTCATATCAGTGTAGGAAATGTTTTTAACCAACCACTTTAGGGATATAAAAGATTAGACACAGAAGCAAGTAAGCACAGATAGGGGAAGACAGGTGGCACACCATATGAAGATCACCAAGGAACCCAGAAACAGAAGCTGAAAAGAGACAAGGATTTTTTCCTAGAGCCAACACAGAGAGAAAGACTTTCCCTAGAGCTGGTGCCCTGAATTCAGACTTCCAGCCTCCTAACTCTGAGAAGATAAATTTTTGTTTGTTAAAGCCACCCACTTGTAGTATTTCTGTTATAGCAGTGCTAGATAACTAAGACCACATCTTTACTGAAGGATTCAGAGCAAATCACTATGGATGCCCTAAGTTATAAAAAAATCTTTATAAAACTCAGTTTAGTTCTAGTTATACTTATAATGAGGAAAATTTCATGAGTGGAAGGCCACCTCATTATTCAATGCTCAGCTTAACTGTTAGCTTAAGCTAACAATATAACTTTAAAATCTGGGGCAGGGTTACTTAACAGTATGTGGCAGTTTATGGCTTGGGCTTGATGTGAGAAAACCTTGAGATAACATGGGAAGACAGATGCCATGCAAAGATACATCTACAAGTTAAGGATGGCTGGCAGCCACTGGAAGCTAGACAGGGGAGTAGATCAGCTGAAATAATTTCAAAGGAGTTTCAAGGGAGTTTTATTTCCCAATCTGGCACAAATTCAATAAAACTGCCAGAGGTACAACAAGTCTGATAACTGAAGTGAAGGGGTGATTAATAACTTGGAAACTAGTAAAATTACAAAGCTAGTAATAGGGAGCCTCTGAAAAGACTTCTGGTAGGTCTAGCAAACTCACCTGCCTCCCTATTTGCCCTAGAGAATCCTCTTTGGAGCACTGATGACAGCAGTTAGCACTCAACCAGATGTGTGCGACTGGGAGAAGAGGAAGTTTTGCTATCCACAGATAATCTTCAGACCCCTTTTCAGCAATTTAAACTCAAACTAAATTTTGTATAAGTGTTGAAAAACATGGGTATATTGATTGACAAGTTTCACCTTTCCTCTCACCTTTGCCCATTCTCGAGCTGATGTACAAAGAATACTGAAAGAACAGACAGGCGAATAATAGCGATCATGAAAAACAAGGGAAAGATGAAAAACAAGGAGCCTGGCCATGCAAACTACAGAATCAGCCCCTTAAATAACCCTCAGTTAGTGCAATGGACATCTTAAATGATCATTCTGACAACTCACAGGGGCTATGCCAGCTTCCAGCCTATATCTATCACATCATTCTTGAAGAGAGCATGCTAAAAATGCAATGGGCTTAATACGCAACAACTAGGACTACTCTCCAAACAAACATAATTAGGATACCTTTAAAACAGTCTGGAAACCCTATTATAAAGCAGACAGGACATATCAGGAGCTAGGATAGCCATAATTGAAACAAACCCAAAATACCAATAACGTTTTATATTTGAAAACCCCTAGAATTTATAGGCAATGTTTTTTCACATAAATAATCTGATTTGATCTTTATGACAGTCCTGTGAGGTACTCCAGCCTTTTTTTTTTTTTTTTAAAAAACAAAACAAAACAAAACAAACAGAAACTGAGGTACCTCTGGTTCTTTCTTTTCATATTGCACACAAGCAAAGAGGGGGACTGAATGGTGAGCTAGCTATTCAACCCCTTAGGCTATCATGAACGCTGCATGGGTTATGGAAAGAGTAGGATTAGAAGCTGGGGACCAGGACTTGTCACTTAACCTGCGAGCTCCCTGGTGTAGAGACCTGGCCTGGCCTGTTCACATTGAAGCCCAGCTCCACAACAGGGCCTGGCACATAAAAAGTTTCCAAAAATGCTTGTTGATGCCAAGAGAAAGCACCCTTTACTTGACAAGGCTTCAGTGAGAACTAAACAAGAAAATGTATGAAGATACACCCAATAAAACAGAGACATTTAAGAAATATTACTGGAACCTGAGTACTAAAACTAAGGTTTGTTTTATTTTTATTTAAACCAAATTTGATTTTAAATCATTAAGAAATCAATAATCTCCATCCAAAGTCTATAGCCTATGATTGACTTCCTAACAAAATTTCAACAAATTGTTAACTTTACTGCTACTCTGAAGTCAGAACTAAAAGAAATGTTTAAATCCTTTTTTTGAGAAGTGCCACAAGTTGTCAAAATGTAAAAATTTAAAGTCTTTAAGAGGAAATATAAATATATGCTACTTTAGCATGTAGTAAATAGCAAATGATTTAATTTTATAAACTCAGAGGAAACTCTTCTAATCATGTGGGTGTATATATACATGAATACAAAAATATATATGCATATAAACCCATTGCCATCGAGTCGATTCCGACTCATAGCAACTCTATAGGACAGAGTAGAACTGCCCCATAGGGTTTCCAAGGAGTGCCTGGTAGATTCGAACTGCCAACCTTTTGGTTAGCAGCAGAACTCTTAACCACTATACCACATAAACACAGATATATACAAATATACACATATATGTACACATAAACAAATGTATAGTGATTTTAAAATGGATTAAGACATTAAGTGCTCCTTAGAAGCAAGGATCGCGTGACTGTGTCTTACACACTTTGGATATGTTGTCAGGAGGGATCAGTCCCTGGAAAAGGACATCATACTTGGTAAAGTACAGGGTCAGTGAAAAAGGGGAAGACCCTCAACGAGATGGACTGACACAGTGGCTGCAACAATGGGCTCAAGCATAACAACGATTGTGAGCATGGAGTAGGTAGGACCAGGCAGTGTTTCATTCTGTGGTGCGTAGGGTCGCAGCACCTAACAATGACAACATTAGAGTATCGTAAAACCTGTGAAAGCTGGAATCCATGTAAAGTGGAAACCTGTCCGAGAAGGAAAACTTAAATATTTTCCACTAAAAATATTTAAAAAGTGGTAAGACTGCACTCTGTCAAAGGCAGAAAACTTGCAAGACCCAGAAAAAACAAGGCAGTCACGTTGAGTTCCGGCTTTCACAGGTTTTACTGTATAAACAAATGCTGAAAAAATATCTGCCAGCAAAGCTAGAGTTTTACATTAGGTGAAAATTTGTAGACTGGATGACACACATCACTGAGTCTATGAATATCTTTAACTCATTCAATGAATATCCTGACTCCAGAGAGTCAATTAAAAAAATTCTACGTTTCAGTTAATTTGAGTTCATTGAAATAAATACCTGTTTCTCCAGTGAGAGCTCCCTTGGCTATATCTCCATTTCTCTGGTCAAGAGTTTTCTACCCCCACCCCAAAAAAAAGAATTTTACACATTAGTTACAAATGAAAGTAAAGAAAAAAAATAAAAGCTATCAAGACTCCTTCAAAAATGGCCATCTCAATACCTTATCTGTAGCTTCTGTTCTCCTGGTTCTTTTCATAATCTCCTCAAGTCGCTACAAGAAAGGAAGAATAGAGCAAAAGAATCAGATATAGAAATAAGGCCAGCTGGCACATTTCCCTGATTAAGCAAATAGCAGATTATTAAAAACATGGCTGTGATTTTGGGAAAATATAATAACCACTGCTGCGTCTTAACTGGAGTTATTAAAAAAAAGTGGAGACTGGCTTAAATCACGCAAAGAAGTAACTGTTTTGGCAAAAGCTGAAACACTGAGCGATTTCTTTAGGGGAGATGATCAATACTGAGAACTACTTTAGTTTATCTGAAATGGGGAGAATGTATTTGTTTTCTGATGGTAATGAGCTAGGCTCTTGGTCCTTAGACTGCTTCAAGTCCATCAGAACAGTTAGAGTCTTGTGTTTCTGCTGTTAGATGCAGCTACCTTTTTCCTCTCCAGGCGTTCCTGCTCTTCTTTCTGGAAATGTTTTTCTCGTTCCTGCCGGACCCTTTCTGCTTCTTCACGAACACGAGCTTCTTCTTCTTTCTGAAAACAAATGGTTGGCATCTACTTTCTACAAACGGTCTGTCTTTGCCTGCTGCCCCAACTTCTGGAGGGCACTCACACACTGAGGCAAGATGGCAGATGGAGAACACGTGGAAAACGAGAGCACGTGTACACGCACACACCCCAAAGAGTATTCCTAACAATGACACAGTTAACGTTTTCCTCAGTTCATCTGAGATAACCCTCTTCCCATCTGGAGCAAGTGGCTGCCCTGAACCTCTTTAGCCGTGCAGCCCTGGAGCCCCGCACCCCCTAGAGTCCAGACACCTGTACCTGCTTCTGGAGGCGCTCCATCTCCTCCCGCTCTCGTCGATCTCGCTCTTCTGCTTGCCGTCGGAGTTGCTCTTCCTTCTCCCTGGCTTGCTCAGCTTCTAGCCGTCGGGCTTCTTCCTCACGACGAGTTCTCTCTTCAGCCACCTTTAGAGCCAATTCCTCTCTCTTTTGTCTATAATCAAGATATACAAGGAGAGTTACTTGAAAGGAGACCTGAGTTTGTGGTTACTACAAGGGCAGTTTGTTCACAGGTCTGGCAGAAAATCTTCTTCACTGAATACATTCAATATGGTTAAGGCACAAAACATGATGCCATCCTCTACTCTTCCTTCTCCCTTCCAGGTCTTAATGACATCTGTGGTAAGCAGAAGCAGAAAGTATTTTGAAAAGAGTTTTTATGTTTTTAAACATCTGCAATTTAACTATCTTTAAAGAATGAGACTTGCTTAATCTAATAATATGACTTTTTAGTAGCAAAGTTGAAGCCAAAACAAAGAGGAAGTCTTTATAAATAAATAAAGGTCATAGTGTTCTGTCTTCCACTGATGACATGCATTCTGAGTTGCTTTCACAGGACAGGGAGAAGATGGGCCACACAAGCTCCCTGTTGGGACCAAGGGCAGGGCATGTCCCAAGATGGCTGCCCAGCAGTGGGTGTGGTCTTTCCCAAAGGAGCAGCTCTGTTTGTTTGAAGAACATTTATGTTGACACTAGCCTTATTTGTCCCAGAAGGTTACTGACTAAGCAAACTGTCCCTGGTATAGCGTCTGGCAGGCAATCATGGGGCAATTAACTGTTTCACCCAGCTACCCTGACAGTAGTTTGATGTGGAAGACTATACGAACCCTTATTGTACAGATTTAAAATGATAATAATTAGAAAGATAATGAGGAAACATGGAGATTGGAGATATGTTAAATAAAAAAGTAGACTGTACAATTGTACCTCCCATTGTAGTTATACAAACACAATATACAAACACACATGCACACATACTGTACACAGAGACTGGAAAAGATCACCCAAAACGTATACACAATTATTGAAAACTGGTAAGACTATGAATACATTTTTTTCTCTAAACTTTTCTTCATTAATGTTGCTGGGTTGTCATTATAATAAGAAAATGTGATAAAAAAAAAATCACTTAGTGATCAGAGGAACACCACAGAAGAGTAATTCTGAAACAGGCAATCCATTCACCTTCATCACTCTTACAAGCTCCTGCCTTAGACTGAAGACTTAATCCAAGGCATCACTATGATATTACTGATATCAAGTCATTGAGCAATGTTTCCCGTTTACCTTTCGAGCTCTTCCCTCTCCCTCCTCTCTCTTTCCTCCTTCTCTCGCTGCTCTCGAGCCAGCCGCCTCTTCTCAGCTAGCAGCCTTGTGGCCTCTTCCGGGTCGGTGGTGCCTGCTGAGCTCTTTGTAGAAGGACTGGCAGTCACAGAGGGTGACGGGGCTGGGACTGAGGCTGGGGCTGGCGCCGAGGCTGGAGCAGGGGCTGGGGCCGAAGCTGGAGCAGGGGCTGAGGCTGGAGCAGCTGTACAAAAAGGTACAAGGAGAAAATCAACTGGAAACAAAACCCAAAGAACAAAACAATAACTAGCATTCCCCACACCCCAGGCCTAGAATGCATCATTATAAAAGAAAAGGGAATGTTTATTACTGTGTGTTCTCACGGTCTCACCGTATTCTGTCTGTAACCAGGCAACAGATAACGAAAAGCTGCATGTGTGAGACATCCAGAAGCTGACACTCTGCTACCAAGTTTTATTTTTATACAAGTTAAATCAGTTAACAACATATATTGAATATGTACTGAGTACAGAGCTTCATGTTAGGTCCTGTGCGAAGATACACACTGAGCAAAAAGAAGATGATATCTTCCACTTGTCTTTTGCTACATTTTTTATATTCCTACTCTTTAGTGACTTTTCATTAGTAGAGCACTGAAACCTTTCTATAACCACCCTCAGCGTCCATGCCATGAGCCTAGATTCAGGCTGGGAAGATGACACCCAACACAGAGGGCCCTATTGTCTACCCAAAGCCATCTCCAGGTCTGAGACGGGAAGCCAAGAGCCTCTTCCAGTACAAACCAGCACTCTTACTGCTTACACTTCCTGGGCAACCCCCGTGAGTCCTGATGCCAAGATGACAGCTGATGTTCTCTGACCTTATTCAGATTTAGAAAGATAACCTAGAAAATTGGTACAGCAGGGACCTCCCCACAACTGCACAATTCTATACCACCACAAAGCACCGGTGAGGTGCAATTTCCGACATCTGATCATTCCAGACCTTCCTCTTAAGATTCCTGTTTCTCCTTCTGCTCCCACAGATTTTTCTTTACCATCATGACACCCTTTGGACCTTCTCTTCTCCCTCTTTCCATACAAATATTGGACTCTTCCATTCTCTAACAATACTTTGTCTTGAACCATCTATTTTCTTTTTTTTTGCCCCTACCCTCTATCTTCAAATTAAGTCTTAAGGAGAAAATTTCTGAATGAGGTCAATTTTTTACAAGAAACATTGCATTCCTAGCACCAGATGATTTTAATCTTCTAAATAGCATCTTTTCATCCTAGAAGATAGGAGATCCACTGGGTGTTCTGGACAAGCTTACTATCCTTCAGAGTCCTGGGATCCACTACCACATATTCTGACTCAGTAGGTCTGAAGTAGAGCTCAGGGAAGTGTATTGGAAACATGACAGATGTGGTGGATTAAAAAGATTTCCACAAATTGTTTGAAATGTCTCCCTTCAAAATATGGAGACGAAGTCCTCTCCTCTTGAGTGTGAGCTGGACCTAGTTACTTGCTTCTAATGAAGAGGATATGCCAGAAATATTGGAGTGTGATTTTGGAGACTAGTTCATAAAAGACACTGTGGCTTCCACTTTTTTCTCTCTCCTGGATTACTTACTCTGGTGGAAGCCAGCAGACATTGTCAGGACATCAAGCAACGCTTCAGAGAGGTCCACGTGTCATGAAACAGAGGCCTCCCACCAACAGCCACTGAGTGAGCCATCTTCCACATCTACCAGCCCCAGCTGAGCCTCTGATGACTGCAGCCCCAGCTGACAGCTTAACTACAACCTCATGAGAGACCCTGAGCCGGGACTACCCAGCTAAACCACTCCTAAATCCCTGACCCAAGAAATTATGTAGTATAATAAATGCTTGTTGTTGTTTTAAGGTGCTAAATTTGGGGTTAATTCATTACACAGCAATAGACAGCTAACACAACATTCTGATACAGGTACTCTGAATGACACATTTTGTGAAACTTGGAATAAAAGGACTAGGAAACCATGCCTGAATTAACATATTGTGGCTCCAACAATAGGTTTTGGAATACATGAATCTACTATCTTTATATATATGAAAATTGTACTTAAGAAAAGGTCCCAATATTAGCCTCAGACTAGAATTTCCAAGTTCCCAATAAGAAAAAAAACATTCAAACAAAAGCAGCACAGGAAAAAAAAGAGTATGCCTACCAAACCCACATCGCATGACAAGCTTTAATTACTGCTTACCAGGAGCAGCCTCTGGCTCGACAGGTGTCTCTTCTTCAGCTGTGGCCTCTTCTACCTTCACTATATTGGCAACTTTCTGAGGTTCTTTCTCTGGGTTGTTTTTCTCAGGCTCCACTTTGACTTCTTTCTTGACAGGGCGGATGTTGCCAGGAGATGGAGGCTGGACCTTAGCAATGGCAGCTTTAACTGAGCTGGGAGGCAAGGAGGATGCTGGTCTGGGTGTGCCAGGCAAATGAGGAAAGGACTTGGATGGCAGCCTGGGTAACAAACAAACAAGGTGGGAAGAAGGGGACACATCAGAATAAGCTTGCCAGAACCTTCCTTCTCCCCACCTTTGCCATCTAACAGTCCTAGAATGCCAATTTATGGCAAAGAAAGTAAGATATTTAGAATACATATATTTTGTGACTCACACATATCAAAGATCATGGAGATGGCACAGGACTGGGCAACATTTCATCCCGTTATATACAACTTTGCTGTGAGTCAGAGATGACTCAATGGCAACTAACAACAACAATTTGCCTTTTATGTGGCAGATGCAGAAATACGTTCACTTTAGAGACCCATTCCACTCCCAACCCCCTTCCTTTAAGGAAGAATGTTGTCCCACTGTCAAAGTCAAACAGTGTGGGGAGAACAGTTCCTTTCAGAAGACAGAGGCTACTTGATTCTCTAGCATGGAACAACCCAGCCAGCCTCTTATATTTCAACTTACCAAAGTCGGGAGGAAGCTGATGATCTTGCTTTGGGATGAGATGGAGACAAAGCCCTTCTGATTCCAGATGTAAGATGGAACGGTATGTGTTCTCTTTCTTTTTCTCTTTTATAGCCCTAAGTTCAGAGAAACACAATAATTGGATTTTTCCATGAATGAGGCAGCTACATTGATAGTGTTCAACAGTGGAACTGCAATCCATTTCATGCCTTTTTGGAAAATTTTTAAACTTTGTCACATATACTCAGTCCAACCCAACAAAAGGCTCTTGTTAGCTTAAAACTGAAAATAACTGAATTAACACAATGTGACTGACACTAATAAGTTTCTGGATGTGTGATGTGAGGTATATTTGTGAAAAAATTATACATAGTTTTAGAGAAGACCTATACTTTGTGTCTAAAATTACTTGGAACAAAATCTCTCATAGTCTGGTTTACCCCACAAAAATGTCAAAATGAACAGTCACATAAACAGTCATGTCATTTTTTTTCCACCTTTTAATTAAAAACAGGTTTTTATCTTTTTCATTCTTATTCTTTTTTTTTTTTTAACCCCTGGAACATACCATACTCGCTAACCTGTTGCCGTTGAGTCGATTCTGACTCACAGTGACCCCACAGGACAGAGTAGAACTGCCCTATAGGGTTTCCAAGGAGCAGCTGGTGGATTTGAACTGCTGACCTTTTGGTTAGCAGCCTAATGCTTAATCATTGCACCACCAGGGCTCTGGAACATACCATAGCTAAGTGTTTTGTTTTTTTTTTTATTTATATGTCTGCTATATCAGACATTAATTCACTTTTTTCTTTATGTTGATGTTATAGAAACAGGTCCTTCCTCACCTAGTGTCCTCTTGCTTTTGGAGGAAATTCAGGATCAAAGTGGGGAATTTTAGTTGTTTTTACTCTTCTTTAGCAAGGATGAAATTGAAACCTAAAGGCAGACCAAAATATCAGCCCTCTTTTGACTGCCAACTAGGAATTCAGCCAGAGAGATAACACCTCTCCTAGGTCAAAATGGGCAAAGGAAAACCGATTTGTTGTGATATTCAGAACCCATATTCTAAAATCAATTAAGAACAAACAAACAAGAAAAAAAACTAGAAACAACTCACAAGGCAAAAGAGACTGTCATGGTTAATGTTATGTGTCAACTTGGCTAGGCCATGATTCTCAGTATTATGTAATTATCCTCTATTTTGTGATCTGATGTGAGCAGCCAATCAGTTGAAAGGGGAAATCCCTTGGGGATGTAGCCTGCATCCAATACATATGGATGTTCTGGCCAAACTCTCTCTCTCGATCTTGTATCCAGTTTGTCATCATCTGATCTCTGGTTCTTGGGATGTGAGCCAGCAGCCTGCTGCCTGACCTGCAGATCTTGCCATTTGCCAGCTCCCACAGCCCTGTGAGCCAGCAACCCGCTGTTTGCCCTGCAGATTTTGGGTTCATTAGCCCCTGAAACCACATGAGTCAGGAGAAGCCTCCAGGCTGATGCCCGATGAGCAGAGTTTGGACTTGCCAGCTTCTACAACTGCGTGAGCCATTTCCTTGAAATAAATCTCTCTCTATATTTATATACATATGTTTAACTGGTTTTGCTCCTCTAGAGAACGTAGCCTAAGACTGAGACTAATCCCAAGTATCTGAAACTTTCCTATAATGTTCCTTTAAAATATGAGATGGGAATGGATGCTTGCTGGAGGCACATCTGTGAACACCTAAGTCAGTCCTTCATTCTGTGGGTCCCAGACTGCATGGGTGCAATGGAAGGGGCAGAATATTATCCAGCATATAAGCAGGTAGTGTATCTTTTCTTCTCTCCTTTTCTAACCAGCTCAAGCATCAACTCCTCTATTCATTCCCTTCTCTTTTGTTCCCCTCAGTGTCCCCTCTAATTGCCTCTCTCCATTTTACTTAGTAGCATCCTGGGAATAGTAGCCTGATAGGTATGGGCTATTTGTTGTTGTTGGTTGCCGTCTAGTTGATTCCTGCTCGTGACGACCCCATGTGTGCAGAGTAGAACAGTGCTTCATACGGTTTTCAAGGCTGTGATCTTTTGGAAGCCAATTACCAGGCCTGTTTTCTGAGGTGCCTCTGGGTGGGTCAGAACCGCCAACTTTTTAGTTAGTAGTCAAGCACTTAACTGTTTGTGCTAAATGTCAAATAATAGTTGATGTCTTCCTGGAATTTCTAAAAAGAACAAAGAATGCAGGAATGAGCTTCATAAAATGTGTGCCATCTCTATAGCATGTCCAGCTGCATGATGACCCTTTGGTCCCAGAAGGCAAGATGTGGGGCCTCAGAGGGCAGCTGCAGTCCTTGGGTAGCAGAAGCTGCAGCCACCATATGGGGCCTTCCGGGCAGGTGTACAGGACTGCAATTATGCTTCTGGCAGATCAGGCTCAGAGCTCTCCCCAAGGGAGGCCGGGGTAGGCACCTTGAGTGGCCTTTTTATTTTTCTTAGTCAAAACATTTAATTTGGCTGAAATCAGACCTAGGAGAAATCTGAATGTGAAAATAAGTCAGGCAGGGCGATCTGTGATGTTTGGGGCTTGGGGAAGAATTTCATCATTTATGATTTCATAAGATAGGGATCAGGAAATGAATCTATATATAAAGCATGTCATCCTCAGTCTTTTATTAAACGGTCATTGAGCAAGCCACTTTTCTCTCCAGAAATAATTGTTAGGTGCCACTGAGTCAGCTCTAACTCATAGTGGCCTTATGTATAACAGAACAAAATGTTGCCCGGTCCTGTGCCATTCCCACAATCATTGCTGTGTCTGAGCTGATTGTTGTAGCCACTGCGTCAATCCAAAACTGACCCCCGTTTAATCACCCAGGGGCAAGGAGAGCAGGGGGGAAGTGGCTTAGAAAAATGTTCAGTACTTGAGATATCTGCTCCATTCTCAGTATCTTAGGTTCTCTGGACCCTGCACTTTCATGTTGATTTACTCTTGATGTGGCTTTTCCCATTTATAGAAACACCCTCCAAGGTACGTAGATTCTTTTTTTATCATCTTAGTTCTTTTAAACTTCCCTTCATTGGTCTCGGTAGCCAACCACCTATTTAGGTGCCATACATGTACAGGGTCCTCCTGATTCTCGTCCTGATCTGAGTTAATAGCCAGCACTCTTAACCCCATGGGGCAGTTTTACCCTGTCATATAGGGTCACTATGAGCCAGAATTGACTCAACGGCACACAACAACAGAAGTCAGATTTGGCTATTTGAACTCAGGTCTGTACAATAATCTTCCCTTGTAACACTTTTCACAAGATTGAGGGAAGCACATGTGGCAACCCACCCATGTTGATGGTCTGCACAGTTTTCTAGAGCTCACTCAACTTTGACGAGGGGTCAATGTGCCCAGGGTGCTGCTGCTCAGATAGACCATCCAGAGGCAGTTTCAGGTCTCAGAAGGGCCCTGTACTCAAGACCAGAACAATCTACCCCAGCAGGAGACTTTAATTTTACAAATAGAGGTTGTTGTTAGGTGCCCACTATACCACCAGAGGTAAGGTTTAGAAAACATATCCCTGTCATAGACAATATGCTGACAGATACACCAAGGTAGTGCTGTCCAACAGAACCTTCAGAGATGATGGAAATGTTCTAAATCTATGCTGTCCAATAAAGTAGCCACTAGCCAGATTGAAGGAGCCCCGGTAGTACAGTGGTTAAGAGCTTCACTGCTAACTGAAAGTTCAGCGGTTCAAACACATCCAGTGGCTCCATGGGAGAAAGCCCTGGCAATCTGCTCCCATAAAGATTACAGCCTAGGAAACCCTATGGGGCAGTTCTACCCTATCATATAGGGTCACTATGAGTCAGAATCGACTCAGCAGCATACAACAACATAACAAGCCAGATTTGGCTATTTGAACTTAGATCTAAATTAACTACAATTAAAAATTCAGTTTATCAGTCTCACTAAACATATCATATTTGAAATGCTCAACAGTAGTAAATTGAATTTAGAACTAAATATATTTAAAATTAAAAAAAATTATAGTTCAGTTAATCAGTCTCACTAGCCACATTTCAAGTATTCAACAGCCACATGTGGTTAACGGTTACTGAATTCCACAGCACAGTTCTAGGGTATAAATGATTTCTGGAGTCATTTTCTGGTAGTACTAGGTATTTACTAAATATTTGATTGTAAAGAGGTGAAAAGAGGGCCAATAGACCAAACAGAGAAAGAGGAGGGCATAAAAAAAGAAATGAGAAGGTGGAAGCTTTGGACATGTCATAACAAATCCTTTTCACTTAATCTGTTGGCCAAAGGTCAGCCCTTATCCTTTCCTCACGGAGTGTTAATTTTTGTTTTTATCCACAAGAAATTTTTTCTTTGGTAAATGGTCTTTCTCCCCTCCCCAATAAGTACCCAATGTTTGGTGCCAAAGCTGTTCTGTTTAACTATAGCTTTTTGTGTACAGCTAGGATATTAAAGCACCAACATGCTAATGAATTAAAACTCCACAGACATCAAAGGAAGTTTCACCTTTGGTTTAAAGGGCTGGAGGTCTGACTCAATCATGAATTAAACACTGATTCTCGAAAGCCTGAAGGGGCTTGAAAGAAAATTGCCTGTAGGCAAAACCATCAAGCCTTTACAACCCTGGAATTATTTTCAAACGTCTACGCAAAATTCTTTTAAGTGTCCATCAGCTTCATAAATCTGAATTGTTTTGGGAAGTTAAGATTTTAAAAGAATTGTTCCAGCCTCTCATTAAAGAAGTCATAACTATTATCATGGGAGAGAGGCAGTAAGATGTGGCTGACTGATGAATCCTTTAAAACTCAAGCACAATGTCTCAAGATCAGAGAACAATATCTATGTATATCTTGCAACAGATACAAAATAAACATATAAGTATAAAACAATGAAGAAGAAAGATTCCAGGAGACACACAAGTCACCTCATTACATTTATAGCATGGTGAAAATTAACATTAGCTCAGCCACCTTGCCGGTAATAACAAGCATACATTATATTCTTCACTTTGCAAAATTTGTGTTTATAACACAACCCAACAGCCTTTCAAGAATCAGTTACTTTGCAAATAACTATAGTGTTTTCAAAATACTTTTTCAACTATATTTAAGATCTGGGTCTTGACAGGATTAGCTAAGAAGATAAATATTCTTTATCTTGCTTTTTAGTGAACCAAATTTAGAGTTCATCCAGTTTTTGAACATGATTGGAGTAAAAATGCTGAGGTAACAGTCACGGCCCACTTCCCCTCCAAAGGTCACTTGGTTTTCTTAATCTCAAAAATAAAAGTATTCTGCCATTGCATTTATTTGTATGGAGGTTCCAGCAGGGTAGGTCAGCCACTTACACATGCTTGAACAAAGAACAAACAATTTTCATTTTCAAATTTTTGTGAGAAGCAAAATCCCCAGGTGGAAAGGAAGTATGGGGCACTACTGCCCAGCCAGGCAGATTCATGTTGGCGACTGGTGGGTTGGTGCCCACTCTGCACAGAAACACCTGCTCCCAATGGCTACTCACTGTTGTGCCATGAACGGTCCTCCTACGAGCAGAGCCCTCAGGTGGTGCTACGAAGAGTTTTGGTTGCTCCATCGGATTTCTACAGTGTGCAGCTTTGTAGGGCATGATGTTGATGGGGCTGCAAGATGCTGAACGAGGACAAATGGGGATAACTAGGGTGCAGGTGATTGTTTTACACACAAGAGAGCCAGAGGAGCAATTGGAGGAAAGCCAAAAGCAGGTACAGGAAAAGGAGCAAAGCAGAAATAGAGAGAAAAGTAGGAAGAAGATGTTAATATCTAAAGGTACCCAGAACCATCATACTCAACTCTCCTCATGGTCGTATGAGTTTATGGTGTGTCCAAAAGGAAGGCATGTTCAAACAGAAAAGCTGGAATATGTTATTAGCTATTTGGTTATTTAAAAACTAATTAAGGACATAGACATAATCCAATAATGGAAAGCAGAAAATGGTCTTATATTCCTATCAACTGATGGTTCTGGTAAAATGCTACATTAATGATATAAAATACTTTTTACATAAGTACTTGTCTGTACTCAGAATTTACCTAGTTAGCTTTAAGATGGAACAAAAGGTGGAAAGGGAGGAAGTGAGCAAGTAGGAAAGCAAGATATACTACAACTAATTCAGGAATAAAGTTCAACTGCCAGTGGAAAAAAAGCAACTGCATTTGTACAATGTTAAATGATCAAGTCTTACCAGGTGTTAAGACTTGTTACAAGGATAATGTACAATTTTCAAAGAAAAAAAATCTGCAAATGTTTCATCCATTAAAGGTAAATCAAATGCATGCTTCCTGGTTCATAAGAAGTAGCAGAACATTTAGGGAGATAACATAAGGATTTAAAATGGTGAATAGAACAAACATATTAGAATTAAAAAAAAAAGTTTACTCATGAATAGCTTACATAGTTTTAATCAAAACAGTAAATTTCCTTATCAATTTTTAAAAACCATATAATTTCTAATCATCCATCTCAGAAAAACACTGTCATTAATCAAGTTTTCTGAGCAAGGATGGGTTTAAGGAAATTCATACAAAACAGCACACATATCAAAAGTGTGGGTACTAAAATTGCAAGGTTTGTTTTCAAATATCTTCCAGAAATCTTGACTCCCAGCAAAAAACAAGACAACTGAACACGACTACTGAGGAGAATACTGTGTATCTGGACCATGTTATAAAGTGATTTCACCCAACTCTAGCCATGGTAGTAACCCTTTAAAGAGACCATTATGCCAGCTGAATGTAGTAGTATTAATAAATTAAAAACTCGAAAGTTCACAAGACGAATATGGTATAATCTTAATTTCAGAATTATAAAAGTTTAAAAAAATAATTGTTATTTTGGTTTTAACCTGTAGACAGAAATAGGTCAGATTTCATCTTTATTAATGTAGTTTCTTTCTTGAAATGCCTCACAGTATCTTCTGGTTATTACTGAATGGTCAAAGCAGGTATAGATCAGAAATTACACTCTCTTTTCCCATCATGGAAAAACAGAATTCTATTTCTTCAGGATAAAACTAAAACATTCCCTCAGTTCTCCTTCAAGAATATATATGTCTTAAGAATTGATATGAAATTTTACTTCTCAACCTTAATGCTGAAGGAAGGATTGTTTGTATTGTGAGGATGGATTTATTTTTCCTCTAGTGGAAAAAACAATTTCAGGAGGTATCCATGGAACATTTCTTGAAGACCACTCTAGAGGTAAGCCAATCTCATTATGCCTTCTGGTTCATCCTTTACTACAGTGCCAAGGATGAAGACGTCCTTAAACCTACTCTAATGTAGTCAGTCTATGCAAAAATCCTCACATTTAATTGTTCAGTGATGACCTTCTGGCTAAAATAAACAATATAAATACCTTCTAAGGGTATTAAATTTCATGGAATTCATTGCTGTTCTGAAGAGCCAACTCCTATTAAAAACCTGAAACCTTTAAATCAACTACTCTAATAATTTTGCTCTTCTGAAGAAATAATAAGAGCAATATATAGTTTTTATTTCTTTCCCAGAGTGTCCCCCATACCCCAAAGTAGTCTCATGAAAATGCCTTAGACAAAGTAAAAGGAGAAATATCTGTATTTCCTCCTACTCTTGGTAGCAAGTGTCCATAAAATCATTCAAGATTTTTAATATGAAATAATGGATGCAGAAAGATAATGTAGTTCAAGTGGTTGTTAGAGTGCAGCATACAGAAAATAAAACTGCATAATAAAATAAAAATATTAACACTTACTGAGTGCCTAATATGCACAGATAATATTCTAAGCATTTTACATGTATTATCTTATTTAATCCTAAACTTTAATAAATGTTCTGGGAAAAAAAAGGGCCTCGGAAGTCAACTTAAAGTAGTTGTAATAAATGGGAGGTATGAGACTCTGATTTCCAATTCTCAACTGCTCTATTGCTATCACAGGGAGTCACTGAACAGCCCTAGAGGATAAGGATGCTGTTTAATCTGCTAATATAACCCGGGCTCCAGATGTAGGTCACCCTCTTGCCAATGGCAATGGGGAATAAGATAAAGTTAAGGTACAACACTAAATGGGAAGACAAGAAAGATTAATCAAGAAGAGTAGCTGGAAAAATACAGGTGATGGAAAAAGCATTTTTGACAAGATAACTAGAAAAGATGTTTATATATATTAATTCCAAACAGAAATTTTTAAAAATCAAGAGTTTTGGTTCATTAAACGTAAGCTATTATCAATGCAATAAGTAACAGTGATCTAAGAAATGCATTAATAAAACAAGCAACTCAAGTAAATATGGATTGGTTCACACTAAAATGAATTACAGAAATGTACTGATTTTTGAAAAAGAGAATGAAAAGTTACAAAGTACAGAAGAGCCAGTGAACAGATAAAAAGCACCTTAGTTGAGAAAAGCAATGAAGAGGGAAGGGCAAATAGAATGAGTGAAAAATGCGGAAATGGTGTTCGAAAAGACTAGAGAAAGAATGAAAGAATTGACAAAAGTTAGTGACAAAAGGAAAGAAAGACAATTTTCTTGCTGTAAGGCAGTCCTTTAGCACAAAACAACATACAATGTGGAGATTCACAAGGATGGCAGCCATAAACTCTATAGATCCTATGCAACAGGACTGCAAGGCAATTTTAAAGGTTCTTCAATTGGCTAAGCATAAAGAAAAACATTCCTGACTTGTATAAAAGTATCAAATTTATAGGCATAAAAAATTAACTTTTGAAATAAGTTGTACTTTTTCCTTCAGAAAAGTCTCAGATGCAGTAATTGACAGCTCTAATGATAGGAGAGTTACTTTTTACAAATATGGAGGATGGTGGTCCATCTAGTTGACTGCACAATTGTATAAGAGCAACACTCTGGGTGCTGAAGATGGAGGGGTAAGCACGTTTAGGATCCACTAATTTTCCAAGTGGTTCTGGTGTAAGTCACTTATTGTCACTGTACTTGGCTTCCATAAGTAGGTAATGGGAATACCCAACACTTGCTTTCTTGACTGCTTCCGTAGGGGTATTGTTGAGAATTAGAGTTAATACTCATTAGCTTATCGGGCACTATAGAGAAAAGCTACCATAAAACCCCAAGAATTATTATTTACTGAGAAGGCTAACGAAGAAGACGCTTACAGAGGCAAAACATTTTAAAAGGAACTTTACAAAGAGGACATGCAATTTCCTAACTGCCAAAAATGAAAGTTGGTAGACTGATCACATAGGTATACCAACTGTGCCCAAAGATATTTAGGAAAACTTGAATCAACTCACCACCAGAAACCTAATATATATCTTTCTTTCCAACTACATATGCGCTCTACTACAATATTAAATTAATTGGCTCATTGAGGCATGTTTTACACTTTTAAAAAGTAGCTGCGTGATAACTGATTATAATAACCAGTACTTGGCATGTTTTACATATTTTCGAAGAATATAACAAGTAAGACCATAATTAGCCTTCTCCACAACTCTCAGCATTTTGGAAGGGTATTATTCCTAGATTACATATAAAAGGACAAGCACAGGGAGGATAAGTAGCTAGCCCAGGGCCACATTAAGAAACTCTCTGTTTAAATAATATGCTTGTGCTTTGATTTTATTCCCAAGTTCATGTATTAGTATTAAATATTTTATTATTTCTACCTTTGATCATCTGCTCAGAGGCAGGGGCAAGAAAGGTAGGTAAGGGATACTGTTTTCTGGTAATGTTATGAGACAGAAGCATCTGAAGCCATCTGATCACAGGGAGGCGCCTCCTTGGCCTGCCTGGCATCTGGTGTCCAGATAAGATGTTCAGACGTAGACAAGGAAACAATGCCAGGGGCATGAAACCAACACCAACAGACACATATCCAAAGCCATTCCGCCCGGAGAAGAGAGAAGTGCACATCAGGAAAAGCTGAAATGTGATTAGATGATTATTGGCTGCTTAGAAATGCTTCAAAAGAAGGACTTTACCTCACCAGGGAGGTTCCCATTGACAGTTTTACCTGCATCTCCAGACAAGGCAGCTGTGCTTTTACTTCTGGCCAGGAACGAATGTGTGGGCGTCAGGAGTCTGTTAACAACGCTGCTCTCCCATGGGCTGAGCTGCAGGCGGCGAGCTAAACGTCACCACATAAGCAAGATGTTAGACGTATTCTTACCAGGGGCAAGAGTGGGCAGAACAACATGCCTATCGCTTCCATATGTCGGGCCTTGGAGAGAGAGCAGGCTCTCTAGGGAGGACAGCTGGCTGAGAGTCAGGGCAACAGGACTCCTGCCCAAAGAGGGCGGCTAATCCATATTGTTACTGCCTTTCTTAGAGACGTTAAGTTTGTGGCAAGCTCTATATTAGTATCACAAACCCAGATTTTTCTAACCACCCTTCTTGAGTAGTCTACAGGTAATAAAACAGAAATACCATTTCAACTACAGGTTTGGAGTGTAGCATTGCTGACCCCAGGTTGGACCTATCTGATGGTCATCAGGATGGGTAGTGGCCTGATGGCACAGACCTCAGCCAAAGGGTTTCCTAAGCACCTTGAATAATAAATGCCAGCAGAGGCTTTGGCGGTTTAATGGAAGATTGGATTTATGTAAAAGATAGAAAAGGTCCCATTGAATTATGCTACTTCTTCATGAAGTACTTGGGCAATCGGGGGAGAGGGGGATTAGCTATAACAAAATGAAAGAAGACTCAAGCAAAATTAGGTATGGGATTTCCTTTTTGACTTTCCATTCAGCGAGCCAGGTTCTTTAAGGTCCCTGTTTGGCAACAATATAAAAAGTTTGGCTGAGGATAAGGCTAAGGCTGAAGCAAGATAAAATTCAACAGAAAAGCCAAAATCCAATATAAATACAATCCAGGAGATTACTAGCGGGTACTTGAAGAATCTAGAAAACAAATTTTTCAAAATGCAATTAAGTATGGTCCCAAATTATACCATGGGCTGGCAAGATGATTGTTCAGAAAGGCATGCCAATTATAAATTAATTACTTTGCTTATAATGTTAGCTTCCAGTGATAGCCCATGAAAATATAGTGGCTATTTTCCAAAAGCATCTGGAGAGAAGCCTGCAAAATCTACAAAATGTCTATAGTGATTACACATCTTTATTTTAGAACACACTCCCAAGTCACTTATAAAAGTCTTTAAAACTGTCTAAACCTGGCTAGGCCACTTCTGTTCTGCACCATAAACATTAGGTGTAAGTGCCCTTATCTCTGGAGTAAGGGTTCTTGTAACAATCTTCCATATGTTGTATTTTAAAGGAATGGCATTTAAATTCTAGGAAATTAGTTTCAGTTAATAAAAGACATAATGTTAAACAATATTACAGAAAATACTGGCTCCTATCTGGAAGGACGTATCAACTTCAAATAAATACCCTAATTATCTGACTTTATTTTAAAAGAGTGGTTATTTGGATCAAGACTCTGGTGTATTTAAAAATTAGTGAATCGTTCATTAGATTTTCTGTTTTAGGAGAGTCTTCATGATTGTACTAAATCTTATTTGACACTAAGATATTAATAAAAAGATCTGTTATAAAAAGTATGTAATAGCTAAACAGTAGAGTCCACCATGGGGTAGGTGCTATTATAAACTGTAGCGCAGCAGTGCAACTCTGTGTGTGTGTGCGTGTGTGTGTGCGTGTGTGTGTATAACAACAGCAGAATATACAGCAGCTTAAAATTATGATACATTCACCGAATGAAATACCAACCGGGAAAAAGTGATTAGGATTAACTGAGAATCTTCAATAGAACTAGATTTTCAGTCGAAGCGAAAGGGAAGAGATGAACCCTTCCTTCTCTTAGCTTAGAACTGCAGAGATGGTTGTTGCAAAGGCAAGACATTTTTTCTCCATTAAGAAGCTCAATTACTTTATCTCTGTGAGTCGTCAAGGCATCAAAGAAATTGGCCTCAAATGAAGATTACTAAAAACCCACTTTAACTAGTATTTAAAACATATCCAAAGAGACTTGTTTTATACCTTCCAACACTATAAATGAACGATTTTGCTAGGAGAAATGGGCTTCCATTTCCACCACATTCATAACTATGCCCTGATTAAGACAGAGAGAGATCTCTTCCATGAGATAACTTTTTAGGAATGATTAGTAAAGGAGAGTTAGTTTATTGTTTTTTACCTAGAGGGACTTGATTTTTAGATCATAAGCTCCTGAAGAGATATTCTTATGGAACAGCTGTACAGTATTGATCTTATTTAAGCACTTAAAAATAAGATATTGACAGTTCTCATAATAGAACATCTAGACCAGATGAAACAAACTCAAAGGCTTGTACGGGGCCACGCAGGTTAATATAAATAAGTGATCTAGGATAAATAAACATTATAGATATCCGTACTCCACACTCATCCTATAAGCAGGAAGTCAGTATTCAATTCTAGATAATGGGTGTCATGCAGTAATGCAGGCAAGTGTTGCCATATAAAAATTTTTCATTAAACCCATTGTTGTTGAGTCGATTCCGACCCACAGCGACCCTATAGGACAAAGTACAACTAACTGCCTCATAGAGTTTCTAAGAAGCAGCTGGTGGATTCGAACTGCTGACCTTTTGGTTAGCAGCCATATCACTTAGCCACTGGGCTGCCAAGGCTCCAATTCTTTTGTTTTCATTAGACATGGGAAATCTAAATGTATGAAAGCTTCTATCTTTAAAATGCTGACGATTAATTCAAATTAAAACAAAAGCAAAAAACACTGGCATGTCTGTGGGGAGAATTCAGCTTGAGTTCCACCATTGTGTCCTCTGATCTAGATTCTAGGAAAAAACGTATTGACTAATTTTAAGCAAAAAGTAGGCAACTTCACTCTTTTTCTTTTTTCCCAAGCTCCCTATAACTCTTCCTTGAGAAAAAAAGATGGTTAAACATGTAGTTAAGAATAAGACATGTCTATTGCAAACACGTCCAGTGGTAACACTTTCTCTGCTTCAACAATTATAGAAATCTTTAATAATCAGAGGTTTCCTTTAACAAAAGACATTTTATCAGACCATATAACACTACAGTCAGTGTTATAATCAAAATATTTAAAAACTGGTCAGGCATAAAACATAACTAGTGGACACTGGTCATTAGTTCTGAGGGCCCAGGGAAGCACAACTTAGGGAGGAGGTTATTTACCAACTGGTATAGAAATATTACAACAGGACTGTACAGATGCATTCCAGATGAATGTCAGTCCTGATGGTATTAGAACCTCAATTTTAATATCATCTTTAAGTCTGTGTCATACTGTTGAGAAAGCTCAGACTATCTAACAATAATGTATGCCCCTCTGGACAGATTTGCCTACGAAGGCTCCTAATTTAATAACTCAATAAGGATGCTTTCTAATTAGATAATAAAGCAAAGCCAAATTGTAAAAATAGAGAAAAGAAAGAAAAAAATGAATTAAATTACTTAAAATTTATAAATTAGAGAAGTTCAAATTCAGAATAATTTTAATTGCTATAAAAAGACCTTAACCTCTTAGTATCCTACTGAGGGTTCTGTTTAAATAAACAGGATAGATTATAGATAGACAGACAGACAGACAGCTAGCTAGCTAATTAGCTAGCTAGCTTCCTGGACCATATGGGGGCTCTTGGATGAACCGAATCTTCCTAGCAGGCCGACCTTGGCTGTTAGGCCCATAACTGGTTCACAGTTCTTTTGATAAGGGGGCAGAGACGCAGAACTTCCCAATTTCATGCTCCTCCTCCTGTCGTACTACTCCAGCTTAGTACTCAATTTCCTAGGCCTGCACCATGATTCAAGCGGCTGTTTCCTGGCCCCAGCTCCTATGAACTGGTGATGGAACCTCCCTTGATCCTGGTGTCCTAACTCTCCACTTCTAACCTTACCCACAGGAAGAATATAGTTAGAATCCAACCGAGGAAGGATAGGCATGAAGGTAAGCACTGAAGATGCAGTGTAACAACAACATGGGTTAGGAGCTGGTGATCTCTGTTCAAGTCCCTCTTCTGCAACACTTAGCCTGTAGGATGTTAAGTCAGACCCTTGACCTCTTAGTGGCTCTATTACCCCAACTGGAGTAGATGATCCAACTAACAGATCTTTCCCAGTTCTAAGACTCTGTTATCTTAAGAGTATCTAATTAGATACTATCATGCAGAGTTCATAAAAGGTCTTCTCTAATTGACACAAACAATTGAGCATTGGTATTTCACAGAAGTGTGGACTGGATATTGTCCAGTTTATTGCCCATCTCCCATGCCCACCCTTACCCCAATTTCAGCTATGGGACTGCAGGAGGCAGTTAGCAAGTTTTAACTTAAAAGTACTGTAAAATCTAATTGTAGTTTGTCTCAGACCAGGTTCAAAGAGTATGAAATTAAAGTAATAAATACGTGACCAATTCCAAAGAAAATATGAACAGACAACTGTAAGAATAGCATTCATATACTACATTTTACATTGTATTAAGGGAATAGGTTTGAAAATAAAGGCTACTTATGAAAAGGAATTTTAATGCATAATAATTCCTCTAACATATGAATACCCCTTACTTGACTACATGTCTAACACTGATTTTGAAGAAATGATTTAGGCAAATTAGGTTAAAAAAAAAAAAAAGGAATGTTTTCATTAAGAGGCAAGAATAGGAAGTTGTTCAAACATTTACTGCTTTAAGAGATCAGTTATAAAATAACATCAATATTTATATAATACTGTACATTACAATGACACCATAACAACTTTTATATAATACAAAATATACAAATATACATACACACATACAGAACATGCACACATTACATTCTTTTTAAAAGACTATAAACACTGAACCTTTCCCAATCAGTTTCTTAATAAAGTACTCAAAGTAACCACAATTTGTTACTTTTTAAAGAGTTGTATCCTTATATTGCACAATAATTCTTTGGTTCCTTAATTAAAATCGTTTTGTAAAACAAGTAGCTTATCTTAAAAGCTTGATATTTCCTTCTATAATATTTAAGTATATAAAATAATAACTTCACTTTATAAATAAACTCAACATTCATGTACTGTAAATCCATGGGATGAATAAAACTAAAAATTCAAATAAAATGTTAATTGGAGAACTATGATCATTAAACTTGTCAGGAAGCTGTAATGATGATGACATTCTTGAAGTTAGACCAAATCCCTTAAGAGTAAATGAATGGACACAAAAAACCAATCACACACACACGAAATGCAGTAAGCAACGTTTGGTTAAATAAAAATAAACTGGTAAAATGAAATCTACCAACATGAATCATTAAAAAGTTTTTTTTTTTTTAAGAAAGTCAAAGCCTGAAATTCCCAAAGTACAGGTGAAAAACCAAAGACATGATGATCGAAGTCAAATAAATGTTCATAAGAAAGATTATTTGCATTTTGGTGGATAAGTGGGTGATTTCTGGAGCTGAAAACTCATTTACTAAAAAGTTGAGAGAAGCACCGCTTTCATCACTGCTAAATGCAACCATTCAGCCAAGTTCTAAAATGAGAAACGTCCTTGTCGAAAGGAAAATGCTGCTCAGCCGTTTATTGCTTTTTTACTCTGAAGTTTTTTTCTTCCTATTTAAGAAACGTAGGGAAAGCAACTTCAGATGCTTATTTTTTATCTGTAAACATCCAGAAAGAAAGCATTAAGTAAAGAACAGAACACTTTTTGTTTTCCTTTTGACTGTACCTCTATCTGGAGAATTTAGTAAAGTTGCAGATGAAGAGGAGAGCCGCTTGCTAATGACGGGATCAACATGTTTCGAAAGATTCATGGTGGAAACTGACCGCCTGTCAGGATCTAAAACAAATGGAGACAATGCTAATTGACAGCCAGCATGCAGCATTGCAATTTCCTAGTTCACTGATGGAAGGAAAAACTAGGATTGGATGCTTTCAGCTCTATCACTAGCTCTTTCATAATAGCACAGTTTTCTAAGTGGACATTTTAAAGGTAACTTAAAGGCTAGAAATAAAATTCATTTTACTTACAGGACCAAATAAATATTCAGTTCACCAGTTTGTCAGCCATGGAAATTCAAGGATATTGTTATAATACAACAAAATGGAATAAAACAAAAGGAAGGCTAGTGAATGGCTATTAAAATCATGGAGTCTGTGCAGCAAACTGAAGACAATGAATGATGAAAGTGAATGCCTTTGAAATTTTTCAAAGTAGGAACAATGGAGTAATAATAAAAAAAGAAAAACCATTTGCTGTTGAGTCAATTCCAACTCACGGCAAACCCATGTGTGTCAGAGTAGAACTGTGCTTCATAGGGTTTTCCATGGCTGATTTTTTGGAAGTAGATCACCAGGACTTTCTTCCAAGGTGCCTCTGGGTGGACTCAACCCTCCAACCTTTGGGGTAGCAGTTCTGTTTGCACCACCCAGGGACTCCAGGGGTAATAGCAGTGCAGGTAAAAGAGAATGAATACACTGGAATGAAAGAATATGAGGGTCTGTGTATTTACTGATACCTTTGCTTGTAGAGTCTTTTACTCAGGACATTAAAGTTCAATTATGAAGAATATAGATTTTTAAAAAAAGAAAGAAAAAAGAAACACTCTAGGTGTGGAAAGGATGACTGCTAAAGCATTTCCTTTTAAAATGTCTACTAATAATCATACCTCTGTGCTTGTAACACAGAGTTTAGCATGGTTTACAAGTGTAGAATCAGACCACAAACTTTCCCAATAAAACTGAAGCAATATAGATAAAATCAGAATTCCTTTCTCTAAGTTTATGAACAACATTATTGTTCATCTTGTAACCAGTCAGGTAATTTTAGAATAATTCTTAAATTTCATATATATGAATTTCTTTATAGTCATGTTTTATGTGGAAATAATAGCCATATAAAGGGCAAAACCAACTGTTAGTTTTTTGTCAAGACTGTGGAGCTAAGTTGTAACCTTGCCTATTAGCACAAACCGTGCTCCCTGAACCAAAGTGCATATAATAAATTCTAAAAAAAATCTCGTTATATTTATCCAGGAGGTACGTGGATGTTCTGATTTATAACAGCCATAGTTGAAAGGGGTTTTATTATATGTTTTGCTTTATTTCTATTTTCTATTATTATTTCTATTATTAGCTTCTTCTAAAACTAAAAACAAAAATATTCCTTGTAATAGATGCCTTCAAAACCCAGTTCCCATTGGTCTAATTAACCTCAGCAGTAAAAATTTTACAGTGAACTTTCTCCCACAGGATAACTTTTTTTTTAATTACTATTATTTACAGTGTGCTGGTGATAAACAAGCCTTCCATCAACACCAGACATTTTCATATCTTCTACTGGGACCCATTTTATGGCTGAAGCAATTTTATTCAAAAACACACACCCTTTCTGTGACTCACATTTACCCCGAACTGATGGGCTCTTAGGGCACTGCCAACATAAAGAAAAGATTAAGGGCAAACCATCAAAAGCAACACCTTAATCATGAAATGTGACGTACAAGGGCACAAGGAAAGATACTGAAATTCATCTCCAGGTGATTTTATAGTAATACATTTTCTGATATTGCTTTATATGTTAAGCTTTAGTTGGGGGAATTGTGTCTACATGTAGGCCTATCCTCAGGCAGATTCTCAATAGGTTATTACAAAATATTTAGTTTTGCTTTCAAGTGAATTGAAAAATGAGCTAGACTAGGTCTTCCCATCCTAAAAAATACTATAAATAGTAAAATAGCTAAATCTGCCACAGATGGTTAAAATTATCAAGGTATAAAATATTTATTATTTAATAAACAATAAGATTATTCATTTCTTTTTCTCATTGACCTCAACCCAAATTCACAGAAAGATTTATAAAGAATCAGTTCAATTGCCAGCAGTTGGACAAGACACTGATTTTGATCTTGACAATTTCTACAGTTTGTTTGTTGGTCAGCAAACACTGAGTACCCATCATGAACTAGGCACTGTCGTGAACTAACGGGTATCAAACTGAGTAAGACCTGGTCTCCACTCCCAAGAACACAGTAGACAATTTTTTGACCTCTGAGAACTTCAGAAACTTCCAATTATTTTCAGACAAACTTCTCTTTTCCAGATAGCAGCAAATTTCTCTAATTCACTGCCTTTGTAAAAATGAATTTTATCCAAACAGCTCACAAGTACAATATTGCTTTTTTCTTGCTCAGAGTAGCAGTAATAAAGATCATATATTAAACTCTGAGTAATTATTACATACAGTTATAGAAGCATAACAGATTATACTTCTGCTATAGACATCTAAAAGATAAAGTAGAAGAAGAATAAGGTTATGAAAATAAGTACCATGATAGCTTTTCTGCATGTAAAGTATATGCAAAACTATCCCTAAAATGAAATACACTTGTAAATGATCCAATGATCACAGATTTGATATGTGTTCCACTAAATAACACTGGGTCATGAAAAAGCCATGGGGACAGAAAGTGCTTTCAAATTTATTTCACTGTCATAGGAAAGTAGGTTGTGGTGATACGCTTTTAGACTTTTTTTTTTTTTTAATAAATAAAGGGTTCATAGAGGATACACAAATGTTAGGAATGGACAAATAAACAACAACCCATAGTACTTTAGATCACAACTAAAAAAGGCAACAGCAAAATTGACTGTGGTGGGGGGATGGGGAAAGCCAAACTTGATGTACTTTGATTCCAGGTAATTTTAAAAACATTTCTTAAGGTCTTATCTAAAATGATCTTTAAAGTGAAAGCAAATGTACCACATGCAATTGCTTTATTTCAAACCTTTAAGTCTCCTGAATCATATTATCACACTTAGGAAACACTGTGCCATATACCAGATCTAGGTCTATGCAATAGGATATTAAGCATGCATTATCACTAAGGTGGTGATGGTTCAGCTATTGATGAACGCGCCCTAGGTCTGAGGTGCTAGCTACAGGTCAGGCAATCAGCAATCACAGGGATGTCTGTACCAGATTTTCTAGTACCACCAAAAGCTGGGAAGCGGTGGTCCAGGCCTGCTAAATCGAGAAAGGTGAATGATGATTCAACAAAACCACCTGGGGACAGAATGTAAGACAATGATTTTTCAAAGTAAATTAAAAAAAAAAAAAAAAAAAAAAGAGTTGTTAGACTCACACAAACGAAAAAGAATGGATGCACTATGCAAAATTCAAGGTGTATTGAATTTACAGTACAAAAAATAAAGCCTTTCACTACATCCAAATTGCAGTATGATTTTATGTCCATTCAAGGAGAAAGAGATAGTTCAGACATCTATTATTTCTCCTTCAGAAACCAGCACATTTCCTTGCAGAGTGTTTGTGCTGCATACATTTAGGGTCAGGATACATAAATTCATAGTACTGATAAACTAATTTCCAACAGTTAATATTACTTTATTTTTCCAGAGAAAAAGATAAAATTTGTCAACTTATTCCACAGTCCTAAAACTCTTATGCCAATGATTTACTTAAAATAACACAGAGTTGAAACTAGCTATGTTTATTTAGAAATATTGGATAGATTTCTACCTCTTTAAGGAATTTGGTAACAAATGAGAAAAGTAGACTGTGTTAAAGGAAAGACTAAAGAACCTGATCTTCTTACCTCCATCACCCTCTTATCCTCCAAAGGTGGAACCATCATTCATTGTAGTTTAGCAGGATTTGTGTTTTGCAAATATTGACTTAGGAAAAGAAGCTATTGCACTTTTACTGTCCTAGGAAAAAGATACTGAATTGGAAAGCTATCACTGCCTGTTTACCTGCACTGTGGATGCTGGGGCTCCCGTGGAGAGGGCCTCCCCATGACCACCGGTTATGCTTCTGTCTTGGCTTCTGGCTCCTCTCCATTGTACGCCGTAAAACAGCTTCATGGCGTTCCTGGAATGGAACCGAAGAGCTGATAATCAGATTCAAAGTGGTTGTTTGGGGCAGCTTCAACTTAAGGCACAGTGGAGCAAGGGGCAGTTTTTAAATTTTGACCTTACTACTTTCGACTTATTTCCTAACCTCCCCAGGCCTCAACTACCTTATCTTTAAAGTGGGAATAACCTCTACCTGGCATATACACATAGCAGTTCAAGTTTTAGCATAACAAATGTGGTTGTTGTGGTTTGGTACTGTTGAGTCAATTTCAACTCAAAGCAACCCCATGTGACAGAGTAGAACTTTCCCATGGGGTTTTCTAGGCTGCAATCTTTATGGAAGCAGATTGCCAGGTCTACAAATGTGGTACAGTATTTAAAAAATGGAATTTGGAATCTGAGGATCCCATGACTTACTGAGACATGATCTTGTGTACTTTAACCATTCTAAGTTTAAACTTCCATTTTTGCAAAAACTGATACTTAACACTCACAGGGTTGAGTAAGGGTTAAAATGAGATAACCTATGTGAAAATGTACATGGTAAAGTTCTTCACACCTCTAAATACTTAGAGCTGTCTTAATAGTGCAGCATAGATTAGTGGAAGATAAATAAATTAGAGGTCTAGACCAGAGAAATAGGCTTTTAATAAAGCTTCTGGGGCAATAAAATTAATCACCCCCATTCTCTACGGACTTCCGCAGGCCAGCAACTGTAGAAACTGTGCCTATCTGTAAAGCTGAACTCTCTGAAACAATTTTGCTCTGCATTCCAACACCTTTGTGCAGAGTTTCATGGTGCAAGTGCTGCATTTCTGAAATAGAGGTGCCTCCGCATTTCCCAGAGGGGCATCTCACTTTGTCCTCCTCGAGTCTCTGCCTCCGTTTCTCCTCCACAGCAGCTCGCCTCCGCTCCTCCTTCAGCCTCTGCTCCTCGAGCTTCTTCTTCCGCTCCTCCACGTGCTTCTCATAGTGCCGCCTGGCGCGCTCTTCTTTTTCTAGCCAGATGATTTCTCTTGCAGCTTCAGTAAGAAAAATGAGAGAAATCAAACATAAGGCAGGTTTCAAACTTGAACACCTAGAGGTATACAAGTGATCCATATTTAACAAATAGAGGGTTTTCTGGTTTATGTATTGACCAAGTATGGCCTTTTGCTTTCCTTAGATTTTCTGGGAAAAAATACCGTTAATCTTTAGAATAATTTAATATGCTAACAATGAAGTCAAAGAAGATGCACTGAATTCTCCTCAGGCACCCCTTCAACCTACTAGTTTAGTATACTATTACTATAAAATAATGCAGAAATCACCTCCCTTGGACTCAATTCTGATACTGACATGATACTCTCAAAACCAATAGTACTCTCTTCCCCTTTGGGTTTATTTTGTATCTGCTTCCCTTTTTTAAAAAAAAAAACGTGAAACTCTATGGAGCACAGTTTGACACACATGAAGTCACCATGAGTCAGCATCAACTCGATGGCAACTGGTTGGTTTATAAGATGTTAACATCAGGGAAAACTGATTGAATGGTATTTTGGAAATCTCTTTATAACTCTTCTGTAAATCTGATTTTATTTCAAAATAAAAAATTTAAAAAATGTGATATCGTCAAGATCAAAAGTCTGTGACTACATTTCTTTCAACATAGCATTGATTCTCTATGAGCATTAAAAAAAATTGCAAGAAAATAATTAGTTGATAAAAAATATTTTAAATACCTCACAGGTATGGAATGCTGTGTCAGCTAAGCAATGTGAGGGACCAAATAAGCAGCAGACCTGTGTCTGAGCAGCTAACAGTCTAGTTAAATAAGATGTCAAAACATGAAAAGCTGAGGGAAAGTATTCAATTAAAAAAATATTGTTCAATGAAGGACTGTCATTTCTTCTTTATATGTACATGTTCCTGACTCATTTTAGGGGAAAATATACCCCCCAAAACTATTTTTTTAAATATGATGCTTCCTTTAGCCTTGATAACTGAAAACATCTTTAATATGAGTTATTAACACTCCTGGCAAAAGTGTAAAATGAAATTCAGAGCATAAACCTTAAGGGCACTGCATGGCATATAAAAGGTTACTTTTAAAAAAAAAAAAACGGGGGAAATTCAGAACATTTCAGTCTCCTCTAAACGTTTAATACTAAAGATTCTGCATTTCTGCCACCATTCAATCTTTCCAAATGTATTCATTTGAAGAGACCAATCCACTAGACTTGACTTTGTTGTTGTCAGGTGCCTTTGAATGGATTCTAACTCACAGCGATCCCATGTGACAGAGTAGAACTGCCCCATAGGGTTTTCTAGGCTGTAATTTTTGCGGGATCAGATTGCCAGGTCTTTCTCCCACAGAGCCGCTGGGTGAGTACAAACTGCCAATCTTTTGGTTAGCAGCCAAGTGCTTACCTGTGCCATCAGGGCCCTTTGACTTTACTTTAGTGGACGGACAAGGACGAGGACAAATTCAAGGTGAGTTTATCCTTCTGAAACCGCTCAGGGTGGTGTGCAGAGAGTACTGGGGACTGGCATGCAAGAAGTCTGAGTTCTCCCAGCAGCTCTGCCGCCTATGGGTGGTCAGATCTCTGAAATGTCCATTTGGATTTCAGTTTTTGCTTCTCTAAAGTGAGGAGATTACCATATTGTATTCTATGCAAGTTTTAACAGTTTACACTTCTACCAACAGTGTATGAGGGTCAGAGGCAGAAAAAAGAAATGATCTGTATCCCAAAACCTAGACCTATGTGGCATGATAAATATATTTCTTAACTTTTAGCATTCAAACTATTTAGTTTTCGGCTTTTACACCCATTTTAAGGAAAACTTTAGATTCTTTGAGGATAGTTAAAAACACAATGTATTCCTTTCCTATAATAGATCTAGATGCCAACAAGATAAAATAAGAAGATGTTTATAAAATATTAAAAAATCATAAAAAATAAAACTGGTAAGATAAATTTGTAAAACAAGGTAAAATAGGAATTAGTTCCTAGATCAATTTTCCTTGAATAATGTCTTTCATCCAGTTACTTTCTCACTCAGGAATATTTGTAACTAGTTCCTCATTAAATTTAAATCCCTGATTTCTAAAGTCCTAACTTAAATTTGATTTTAATACCCTTATTTGGCCTTAACATAAACTCTTCATTCTAGTGAGACCAGTCTCCTCACTACATCTCTCAAACAAGCCATTCTTCTCCCAGAGCTTTGCTCCCATTGCTCCCTGTTGGAAGAGCTGCCATAGTTTTTTTTATCCAAATTGATCTATCCTTTCAGGCAGTAGCACAGTTCCTATAATGTATCTCAGAATTACCTTTGGAGATGGAGGGGGGTTCTTGTTAAAATGCAGAATCCTGGGCTTCAAACTTTATATTCAGATTCTAGGAGGGGGTCCAGTAATCTGTATTTCTAACAAACCTCAAGGTGACTCTGAGGCAGGTGGTTCACTGATAACATTTGGAGAAGCACTGCCCTTACGGGAGAAGCTTTGTCTCTTTCAGGGCTCACAGCTGCTCTTGTGACCTCTGATAGAAACTTTAACCAGCTGCCCTGGAGTTGACACTGACTCATGGCAACTCTATGTGTGTCAGAGTAGAACTGTGCTCCACAGGGTTTTCAATGGCTGATTTTTCGGAAGTAGAGCACCAGGCTTTTCCTCTGAGGGCACCTCTGGGTAGATTCGAACTGCCAACCTTTTGGTTAGCAGCTGAGAGTTAATTATTTGCACTATCCAGGGACTTCACTACACACTTGAGCATTTTCTATATTTTGATTTCTATGCAGCAAAGGTCTTTTTTTTTTTCATTCTCGAGAGTGCCTTTCACAATTTGACATATCCCAGGGTCTTAACAATTATTTCTGAAGTAATTAGGACTTAACTTCTTGATTCATTTACCCATAACTGTGTGGTCTTGGGCAAGTGACTTAACCTCCCTGTGCCTCAGCTCCATCAGGGCGATCTATGGATAAAAACTGCACCTTCCTCATAGATTCATTGTGAGGATTAAAAGAAAAATTACACCTAAAGTAGTTAGAGTAGTTCTCTACACTTAGTAACATTCAATAAATATTAGCTATTACTGTCACCTTTGTCATCATCATCATAATTTCAATTCAGAAAACTAAAAGGTATTTCTTTAGGTTGGACTATAAATCACAACAGGGACAGATATTATTAGAACAATAATTAAGTTCTATCTCCAAAAAATCTATTGAAGGAAGAAACTTCTTCAAACTTGTATTGAATTTCACTTCTACTTTGTACCAGGAAGTGGAGATCCTATCCCGATGCCTTTTTTAAACAATTGTCTTCTTTAAACAGTCATACGGAGACTAGGCAAACAATGTTTTGCCTAGCAAACAGCAAGCAACACCTTCTTATTTCAGAGTATGCTGATGAGTACTAGGATTGCAATCTTTTATAGTGAAGGACAACGCACAAAATATTTCAATAAGAATTGAAAGTTAATTTACTCTAAGGGTTTTAGTTATGTAAAATATTCCCTATGGGTGATAGATAATGTCAGTCTTATACATGCCCATTAAGAAATGGGAATTTTTAACACAAGGAAAGAAATCAACAACACAATCAGTATTTAAATAATTAAAAATTACTTAATTTCATAAAGGAGCCCTGGCTGTGCAATGGTGAAGTGCTACGGCTGCTAACCGAAAGGTAACCACTTTGGGTCTACCAGCTGCTCCTTGGAAACCCTTTGGGGCAGTTCTACTCTGTCCCATAGGTTTGCTATGAGTCAGAATCGACTTGATGGCAATGGGGTTTGGTTTTGGTTTAATTTCATAAAGAGGTAGCGCTATAAAAAAATAGCACGTCAAGAAAAGGAACTATATATTAACCTTTACTCTTCTGAAGTTATGCTTTATCCCTGGACTCTTAGATCATAATATAAAATAAAATGAAAACTCACTGTAGTCCTGGAAATACTGGACATTAATCAATCCCATCCCTGAGCTCCTGTTACCGGGATCATATTTAATGGCACAGTAACAATATGTCATTGCCACATGAAAGAGAAATACACTTTCAATTTGGACTCCATTTAGAAATGCACAGTGACTCTTGTACTAAAAGGAAATTAAAATGAAAGGCAGGGTCTTGTAATGAATAGAGCATAGGCTCTGGCTTCACAGAAACCTGAGTCCACCGCCAGTCCTCCCACTTACCAGCCATGTGCCATTAAGCAGTAACAATCTCTGTGGTCTTGTTTCCTCAAATTGCTGTAGGTTTGGTATGAGGACTCACAATTACATACAAAGCACTTAGCACAGAGTCATGCACATAGTAAAAAACCAATCACCATCGAGTCGATCCCGACCTCATGTGATTTAGAGCAGAACTGATTTTTTAGAAGTAGTTCACCAGGTCCTTCTCCCGAGGTGCCCCTAGGTGGACTCTAACCGAACTGCGAACCTTTTGGTTAGTAGCTAAACATTTATACCACCCAGGGACTCCTATGCATACAGTTAAAAAAAAAAAAAAAATCCAGTTGCCATCCAGTCAATTCCGACTCATGGTGACCCCACGTGTCACAGTAGAGCTGTGCACCATAGGGTTTTCAATGACTGATTTTTTGGAGGTAGATCACAGGCTGGTTGACTGACGTGTTTCTAGGTGGACTCAAACGCCAACCTTTTGGTTAGCAGTTTAGTGTATAACTGTTTATGCCATTCAGCTATGTTATTTAAAAGAAACACATTTAAAACAAAGTGTCAAAGACAGCACAAAAACAAAGAATGAGCAAATACCTATCAAGCACCTCAGAGTTATCCTTAATTTCTCCCTCATTAAGCTTGGATGCTCCACCCTAACTCAACACATCCGGACAACTGGCTCTACCATTTTATATGAGAACTATTTCTCAAATCCAGTGTCATCTTTTCCAATCTCTTTGCTATTATTTTATTTAAGCTCTTACCCCTTTCTCGGAGCCCTGGTGGCACAGTGGTTAAGAGCTTGGCTGCTAACCAAAAGCTCAGCAGTTCGAATTTACCATCCGCTCCT